GTGTGATTGTTAATAATTGTGAGTTTTCTGTCCTTTTACTATACATGTTTTTTTAATCTTCTTTTCTTAGATAAGTCCCTTTAACATTTCATAAAATAAGGGCTTGGTGATGATTTACTCCTTTTACCTGACCTTATCTGAGAAGCACTTTATCTGCCCTTCCATTCTAAATGAACACTTTGCTGGATAGAGCAATGTTGGATGTAAGTCCTTCCCTTTCATGACTTGGAATACTTCTTTCCAGCCCCTTCTTGTCTGCAAGGTCTCTTTTGAGAAATCAGCTGACAGTCTGATGGGAACTCCTTTGCAGATTACTGTCCCCTTATCTCTTGCTGCTTCTAGGATTTTCTCCTTCATTTTTACCTTGGCTAATGTCATTATGATGTGCCTTGGTGTGTTTCTTCTTGGGTCCAACTTCTTTGGGACTCTCTGAGCTTCCTGGACTTCCTGGAAGTCTATTTCCTTTGCCAGAATGGGGAAGTTCTCCTTTATTATTTGTTCAAATACATTTTCAATCTGTTGCTCTTCCAGTTCCCCTTCTGGTACCCCTATAATTCGGATGTTGGAACATTTAAAGACGTCCCGGAGGTTCCTAAGCTTCTCCTCGTTTTTTTTTTTTGAATTCTTGTTTCTCCATTCTTTCCTGCTTGGTTGTTTCTTTCTTCCTTCTGGTCCACTCTATTGTTTTGAGTCCCAGTTTCCCTCCCATCACTATTGGTTCCCTGTGCATTTTCCTTCATTTCTTTTATGGTAACCTGCATTTGTTCATCTAATTTGTGCCCCAAATCAACCAATTCTGTGAGCTTCCTGATCACCAATGTTTTGAACTGTGCTTCTGATAGATTGGCTATCTCTCGGTTGCTTAAGAGGATGAGTTTTGGGGCACTGATTTGTTCTTCTGTTTGAGCCATCTCTCTCTCCCTCTTTTTATTTTATTTTTATTATTTTTTTGGTCTGGTCGCTCCTGTTATGGTAAGGGGTGGAGCCTTAGGTGTTCCCCGGGGCTGGGGACCCCAGTAGCTAGACTGTGACGTTGTATATGGGGGCGGGGGCGGGGGCGGGAGGGAACAATGGTGGTAGCTCCGGCCTCCATGGGACCTCAGTCCCTTCTCTGGGATCCTAGGTTGTGCGCTCTGCCCTGCTCCACAATTGCTGCCTCACTGGGTCTGCCAGCTGCCGCTTGTGTACTCAGGGTCCACCCGCTGCCATCTTGCATGCCCCAGGTGCCTTACACACCTCCAGTTGCCTTATGCACCCACTGCTCTCTGCTCTCCGTGCCGCGACCTGCACCTGGCTGCTCGTCTCCGCCCCTCATACCAGTCTGGATAAACAGGTCTACTTCAACTTCTTGGCTGTCCGACTTCCGTTCAGATAAATTCTCTATCAGTTCTGGGTGTTATTCTATCTTTAAATTGTTGTTGTTCCAATCTTGGTTGTGTGTGGAGGTACGGTGCGTCCACCTATCCCTCCATCTTGGCTGGAAGTCCGACAACTAACATTTTTTAAAGAGGGCAAGAAGGTGACAGGATTGTTAGTGATTAAAAGCATGAACTTTGAAGTCATCCAGCCTGGGTTTGAATCTGGCGTAACTTTTCACTATCTACATGTTCATAGCTTTAACTATTACTTCTATGTAGATAGCTCCTAAATTTAACTTAGATTTATTGTTTAAAAGTGACTATGCTAGAATCTTTACAGGACTTGGTGACTGGAGTAGACTAGGCCAAAAAGCTGTGTCTATATTCTAATCCCCAGAATCTATAAATATTAGCTTATGTAGCAGAAACAAACACACACAACTTACATGGCAAATGGTGAGATGACTTGAAGGAGGTGCTTCTCCAGGATTATCCATGTGGGCTCTGAATCCAGTGACATGTCCTTATAAGAATCAGTCAGAGGACTGAGGGTGATTTGACAGAGAGGAGGAGGATGTGACCAGAAAGGCAAAAGTTGCAACAATGTGGCCACAAACCGGAGAAACCCTAGAGCCACCAGAGGCTGAAAGAAGCAAGAGACAGATTCTCCCCTATAGTCTTTGAAGGAACACAGCTATATTGACACCTTAATTTCAGACTTCTGACCTGCAGAACTATGAGAGCATAAATGTGTTATTTTAAGCCACCCAGTTGGTGGTAATTTATTACAGCAGCCACAGGAGTCTGATACATGGCTAACTGGGTGCCCATAGGGTAGTAAGTCACAGTACAGGGCCTGACATAGTTGCCAGTTTCTGGCATAGCCCTTCACCAAGAGTGAAGACAGAAGTGCAGGTCTAAGGAAGAAGTTGATGAATGCTGTTTGGGACATGCTGACTGCTAGAATGCACCATGTCTTCTGGGTCGCTCCCCTATATCCTGCTCAGTACAGCACTCACTGCTCTTTACCTGGGCTAGCTTGTTTTTGCAGTGAGGAACCTTGAGACTCCTTCCAGGACAAAGGGCAGGCTTGCTTGCTGTTTGCAATAAAATAGCAGGTTCCTCAAGTCCAGCATCCCCTTTCTGTTACACAATCCACTGCCTATGAGGCATCTCATCTGGGCCTCCATTTTACCCACGTGGGCCTTGGGTACTGATGTAAGGGTACAGATGTCAACATGCTGATGCTCATGCTACTTGCTGTGCTGTGAGTACCTGGGACCTTTGTCTCTGAACCACAAGCCTTGTTTCTATTGCCTGCCCCCATATAACAGTAATAGGCTCACTTCTGGCTTGAAAGCAGGGTAAAATCAACCTCAACCAGATCTGAGTCGAGGGTCTTTGGGGTCCTTCTGGAAACACACAATAGGAATTGAGTAAATGAGTCTGCAGCTCACCAGGGACTTTTGGGCTAAAGATAACAGATTTGGAAATCATCATATGAAAAAGTCCTAGTCAAAGCTATGAATTTGAATCATGTCACCCCGGAAAATTTTATAAAGTGGGAAGGAAAAGGAAGAGAGGGGGAGGTAAGGAAAGAAACCTGAGGAACACTGGTGTTTATGGGGCAAAGAGAAGGAAAACTCAAAAAGTAGATGAAAATGATGCAAATATTTTCCTACCTAGTCTCCGAATCTCAGTAATCCTTCACTTATTATCTTCGATTCCTCTCCCTTCTCCTGCATCTGCTTGGTTGTTTCTAGTTAAACCTTGAATCACACTTTTTCTCACACCCATCTCTTCTTTCTATTCCAAGCTGATGTTCTAGCTTAGACTCCACATCTATTGCATAAATTCTTTTCAATAACCTCCTAATTGCTCTCCTTGCTTCTGTTATACCACACAGTCTGTCCTACACATTACTGCCAGATTACTTTTCTGAAAATATCACTTGGGTTGACTCACTCTCCCTGGTTAGAAATAGTGCGTAGTTCCCAGTATATCTGGGGTTCCTATTTCTTCTATACCCATTGACTCTGACTCTTATCACAGAACAAGAACTGGCATTAGGAGGGATAAAATTTAATTGTGAGAGAGAAGCAGCAAAAGAATCGGGGTGGGGAGAAAAATGAAAAGGACACTCTAGGCTCTGAGGAGTTGTCTTTGTCCAGTATTGGATGAGTCTTGTTCAGGGCTGAGTAAGCTATAGGCTGCAGGCCAAATCCAGCCAGCTGCCTGTTAGTGTAAATAAAGTTTTATTGGAACACAGCCACTTCTGTCATTTGCATTTTTTTTCTGTGGCTGCTTTTGTGCTGCAACAGCAGGGTTGAGTAGTTGTGGCATCGACTATCTGACCTGTAAAAGTCTACAGTATTTACATCTGGCCCTTTATAGAAACAGTTTGCCAATTCCTGGTCTAGTTACAGTTGCAATATGGGAGATATGAGAACTCAAGGAATGTAGAAAAGGATATTTTAAGAAGTGATGCTAAGGGTCACCAACCAGATGGATTCTTGCAGATGGCCTTTGAAAGGTTTCAGTAAAGATGTGAATTACTTTTAATGCTGGCCAGTTTCACTATGTGGTTTCAGAGATGGAGCCACAAGGCCATCCCAACGAAACACTCTTTGTGTACTAATCCCTTGGCATCTTTACTTACACCATTAATCTCCCTTCTGAAACGTCTCCTCACATTCCACACCTGCGTGATTCCTTTAAATTCCTTCCCTCAGACTCCAGCTCAGGTTCTGTCTCTTTGCCTCCCTTGTCCTTTACTGAACATAGTACATTCATCTTGTGTGCCAATAGCCGCATTTGATCAGAGCTCCCTCACTCAGACTTACAGACTGCTGTGTGTTTTTAGTTAATCTTTTCATGGTATGGAGCTACCTCCCTACAGATCACAAGCTTACTGAAGCCAAGGACTGTATCTTCTATATTTTTTCATCACTTTCACAGCTTCTGGCAAAGGGATTCGAAAAAAAAATGTGTTTGATACATTTGCTTATAAATAATGAAATCATCAGAAATACTAGAAAACAGATTATCTAACTTTCAAGCCCTACAGAAATGCTATGCCCAACATTTTTACACAGTGTGGGTCAGTTTTTAAGCCACTGGATTATTGTGTAAGATTCCCGACTAACAATGAGAATGTGAGGGTGACTGGGCTCTGATCTGTGTCACCTTGCCGATAGCCAGGTGTGAAGTGGTGGCCTTAACTCCTTGCCCCTCCCTGAGCAATGCTCCCTAAAGCCCCAGCTCAGAAAGGCCGTCTTCTCAGACAGGAGGACAGTTTGCTGGCCATGTGGTTGGTGCATCTGTGATCTTGGTCAAGTGTGGACTAATGTCCTAATTTTCTGTTTTAGGAAACATGTTTCCAGTAGTTGTTCCATATACTTCTTTCTTATTTAAAAAACTTTAAAAAAGGTTTTATTCATTTACTTTTAGAGAGAAGAGAAGGAAGGGAGAAAGAGAAGGAGAGAAATATCAACTCAAGAAACACTGATTGGTTGCCTTTCAGATGCGCCTGAATGGGAACTGAATCTGCAACCTGGGATGTGCCCTGACCAGGAATTGGACTGGCAATCTTTTACTCTACAGGACAACACTCAACCAAGTGAGCCACACTGGTCAGAGCTAAAAATACTTTTTATTTGAAGAATAACACACATGTATAAAAGTACATATACCATAAATTACAGTACATTGAATATTACAAACTGAAAACATCTGTGTAACCAGCTCTCAGATCAAGAAACGGAATGTTATCCACACCAAGAAATCCACACTGTGCTCTCTTTCAGTCACTGGCTCCCCGTCAGTCCAAGGGGCCCGCTCTGCTGCCATGTAACAGCATCGACTAGTTTTGCCACGTGTTGTACCTCATATAAATGAAATCATACGATCTGAGTGTTTGTACCTGGCTTCTTTTGTTCATGAGATTCACCTGAGGTGTCGAGAGCAGTTGTAGGCTATTTTTTCCCATTGCTTTGTAGTGAATAAATAAAATGTGGCACATGTATGCAATAGAATGCTATCCATTTCATTTCCATTAACAACATCTTACACTGGAAATCTCAAAAGCTCAGCTGTTGAAAGTGAAGTCCAATGCTGCAACGAACACAGCATTATTCTCAACTCTTTAATTTCACAGAAGCTTAATGGCATCAACGTCTTGCTCAGGATAATGTTACAGGCATTCTATCAGATTCTGAGCCAGGAAAACCTGTTTTGCTTCACGTCTGTTACTGTTTTTCTAACAGAAAATAGTCTCTCAAATTCCATTGTTAAGCATCATTGTTGAATTTGGAACTGTATTTGCACAGCAACATCTTTTCAGAATAAAAATAGAGCAACCAAAAAAGTCAGCATGTGCATTAAAGTAAGTTGATTTATTACCTCTAAAGATTTTCCTCCCTTCATGCTTTCCATAGCTGTAAAAAACATCTTACTTTTAATGACAAAGACTATACTGTATTTAGTTTACTCTGATGTGTTTTTCCTTCCACTGACACACACACTCAGAGACATACACAGACACACACACACAGCTCACTCTCACTGGCCAGAGGGTTTTAGTTTCAGCAGGTTAAACTTCATTGAGACAGTTGATCCTGCAGGAATTAATACTGTTTGGAATAAATTCAAAACCCATATTATAGGAAAATTCACAATGTCATGGTACTGCTCCATAAAAGTGCCTGCATAAAAGTATACTTCTTAAAATTCAGATGCATTGAGGTATAATTTATGTCTAATACAGTTCTATGAATTCCAGCAAACACCTACACTCTTGTAACCACTACTACAATCAATATACAGAATACTCATCATCCCTAAGAGCTTCTCACACACCTTGGTAGTCAACTCCTACTCCCAAATCCACTCTCTGGCAACCGCCTGTCTCATAAAGGTGCGTAAAATGGTTTTTTTCCCCTCCTTCATGGGACACAGAAAAGCAGAGCAGAGGCTCATTCCTTGCTACTTCTGCAGCCTTCGCCCGCAGGGCTTCCCCTGCCCCAGGCCCCCCACCTCATCCTGTGCCTTGTCCTCTCCGCGCTGCTACCCACAATGTTACCCCAGTGTTCCTTTTACCTAGAACCCTCTTCGCTTCCTTCCCCACTTAGTCAATTCCCACTGGTCTTTGAGATCTCAACACCAAGGGGTGTGAGAAACTCTTAGGTCTTAACACCATTTCCTCAGAGAAAGCTTTCCTGACTGGTCCCAATCCTTCCATGTTGCATTGTGCATGTGCGAAGCAGCAATTTGACATTGGTTTAGTATTATTTGATTAGTGTCTATCTTCCCATTAAACTGTGAGCTTCATGATGGCAGGGACTCTGCTGGGCTTTCTCATGGTCCTATTCTGAGCATACAGCTCAGCAGTAGGGACTCAGTGAAGACTAAGTAGATGAATACATACTTTGAAGCTAGCACTGTTCTAAATGTTTAACTTTGATTCTTCCAGGGGTGATAAAGTAAATATCATTCTTTCTGTTTAACAATCATAATGGTCTCAAAAACCATAACTTTTTTGCTGTTCCTCCTTCCAAAGTGTGGAGCCTCGTTCTTCTCTCATTGAATGTAAGGTGACTCAGTTACTCACTTCGAATGAATAGAATAAGCAGAAGTGACAGGATCGGAGAAGACATTGCACTTTCTGCTTGCTTTCTCTAGAGTCACTTGCTATGGAGGAAGCCAGCTGCCATGTTGCGCAGATGCCTCAGCAGCACTACAGAGAGGCCCATGTACGAGGAACCGAGGCCTCCTGTCAACAGCCATGTGATTGAGTGAAGCAGATCCTTTCACCCCAGTCAAGTTGTAACCGAAAACAGGTCTGGCTGCCTGCTGCTACGTGAGCCAATGCTCGAGAGACAGGTGCTGATATAAAGGAACGTGGTTTATTTGCAGATGCTGGCCACCTGGAAGATGGGGGCTCATGTCTCAAAGCCCATCTCCACCTCTCAGTGGAGGCAGAGGTTTTTATAAGGAAGGAGAGGGGAACAGAACAAAGAGATCAAGGGAGGGGGTTGAAAAGTTCTCCGCATGCAGATGAGCACAGTCCATTCGGATAAGGGAAGTGATGGTCCAGCCCATGTCTTCCTGCTTAGACACCCTGGCTTCACCTTATTCCCGGCTTCAGGTCATCCTGGCTTCATGGATGAAGGTCAGCAGATCTCTTGGAACTGGGATGCTTGAAGGTCAGGATCTGTATCTTTTGAAACTAGTTCCTAGGATTCTTAAACAAACATGCTGTTCATCCATCCGCCACATATTAGTCAGAGTCAGCACTGAGTCTGAAACAGACACAATGCCAGAAGAATGGTGGGGTGGGTTACAATTTCCTACCGTCACAATTTTCCACTGTTACAGCCTTCACATTACCGCAGTCCTGACCAACACCTTGACTGTAACCTTGTGAAAGACCCTAAGCCGGAACCACCCAGTTTAACCACTCCCTGATTCCTGGCTCACAGAAACCATGTGAGAGAATAAATGTTTGCCATTTTGAGCTACTAAGTTTGAGGGTAATTTGTTATGCAGCAATAGACAACTAAAATAACTGATGAGGGAAGTAAAGTAAAGCAAGTTTAAGTAGGTCGTTAAAGGTCACACAACTAGCATGTGGCACATCCAAGATCCACACGCAGGTCCATGTGGCTCTGAAGCCCCCGTCTCCGTCCCATCTGCCTCCTGAGGTTGCTCGGTGTGGCCAGTGCGGAGCCATTTGACTGTGTGGTCACAGTGTCTCTGCAGACCGGTTCACGTTACAGCATCAGGAGGTTGCTTTCCAGGTTTCCAAAGAAGCTGCTGACTGGAAGAATATCTAAAAGAATGATGAATAAAAAGGAAATTCTAATGAAGAAGTTGAAGGGTACTGTACTATTTAAAGAATTTCTGTGAAGACGTTTTGAAGATGAGACTGAAGCAAGTTTGTTAAAAATTAGAAAAGAGGTAAGTTAAAGTAACTTTTTTCCTTAGCTATATTATGGGTGTTGTAAAACAGTTTTCATAGAGTGTGAATGAATTATAGTAGATTGCTTGATTTTTATATATATTTGTGTTTAATGTTATTTATTATATATCTCTAGTATATGTATTTATTTAAATACTTATATTTAGTACTTATGAAGGAATAATCAAAATTCACTGTTTCCCTGTGATTTATTTCTTAGTTACCATTTCCAAGGCCCAAACTGAGGCAAAGACTTCTTAAATGACACAGAAAGCGCCAATCTTAAAATACAACCTTAATTAGTCATTGTAAGCTAATTATATGCATGCTTAGTGGTCTTCCAGTCTATGTTGATTAGACCTAATTATCTCCATCCCATCATCCTGGAATGACTCATTTCCCATTTTCTCTCTCTGCCTCCCATTTTCCTAACCAAATTAATAAAACATTCCTTTCATCTAATCACTCCACTAATCTTTATTTTCTTTCCTTATGAAAGCATAGCCTCTAGTTCCCTTCTCATGCAAGGACATTGCTGAGCCATGGCAAGTGCTGGAAGCATCTCTCTTGGTGATTCCACCTTTAAGTCTTCCGAGGGGGACTAATTGAAGAATCTCCAGTGGCACAGCACATAGAACACTTTGGTTCTCTCAATGACTCTGCTTTTTCAGAGTCTTCACTGACCCTGGAGCTGGGAAAAATGTATACTACCAAGAAACAGCACTTGGGTCTCTGGCCAAATGAAGCCCATTCTAGTGAATGCTTTCAAGGCCAATGTTTACAATTCATCTCCTGTCCTTTTCAGTCCTTCCCCTCGGAGGGCAGCTCCCTGTGTGTGCTGTGAGGCCTTGGCCTCTCTTCTGCCTCCCTTTTCGCGGCCTGCTTCTTGGTTGTGGGGCGAGTGGAGACTGGGGGACAGAGTTCAGCCATGCGAGCATGTGAGTGCTGGCACACTGGAGGTGACAGCGAGGACACTGTCCAGTTTCAGTTGGTCCTTGCTGCTACTATACCCGACACTGGCCATAAAAAGGTGGCAGTGTCTGTGGCAGGGATGGAGTTTTAGGGGGCCCAATAAGTAACTCCCCTGCCCCCTGAAAGGCAGACACTGGAGTCAGGCAGAGGGAGACAGAAACACCACAGTAACTCCTGGTAAGGCCGGCAGGGCTTAGAGAGCTACATGCAGCCGGCAGTTCAGTGCAACACCTCTGAATCACTCAGACCCACCCAGGCCTGGTTTCCAACACGACTGACTCTTGTCACAGGCCTACAGGTTTGAAGCTGACCATACTTCCTTTCTCTTAACCAAGAGAAGGAAGGGGAGTGCTGAGCCAGATTCATCCAGTTCCTCCACCCAAACGCACCAGTAGGGTAAGCCCCTTCACCTGCCTGGGGGACGGGGAGTGAGACAGAAAGATCAGAGGAATCTCAATCAAGTAGGTCAGAAACAACCCATTAGCACTTAAATATGTACACATATTTGTATATGATTTTATAAGCATAGTGAAAAATAGGAAAGGATACCTGGTAGGTGTTTCTTAGGATCACTGGTTTGGGGTGCAGACTGGGGACTGGGGTATAGTGTGAAAGGAGTGAGGTGATAAGCAAAAGAGGAAAAGAAAACAAGTCACTAAGCACAGTATGATGCGATCACTACATGTACAGAAACCTGGCGATGTCTGTGGCAGAGATGGGTTTAGAGGACTGTGTGTGTTTGTGTGTTTGCTATTGCATTAAGGGCTGATAGTCACAATTCTTCAATCTGCATTGAATGGTTAATACTTTGCCAATTAAGGGGACACCAAATAATTGGTTCATAAGTGTACTTTTGGAATGTGCACTCAGGTTAACCATACCACGGGGACTCATTTCTCTTGCTGCAGCAGGGGCTTCTGTATAGTTGGGGCACAGATCATGGAGTTCATCATAGTGAGAGCCCCCCTGGGGGGTTCATGGAGTGCACCCAATCACTAGCTAGGTGTGCTTAATCTGGGCGTGAGAACTTTGGTTGCAATGATCAGGGGAGATAAGAATGTCCCTCTTTTACTTGATGCTAAATACATCCAAAGGAGCTGTTGTGAATGACAGAGACTGCAGGAATTAGGCATATTTTATCATAATGTTAAGCTAAGAGAAATGTGATTAGATCATATTACAGCATCATCAATACATGGGGCTATAGACTGGGAAATAAAATTTCCTGCTGAAAGCTACCCTTTAAAACGAACAAATAATTGTTCAGAAAAGAGACATCAGTCACCTGGAAGAAACAGAATGGCTTCCAGGCTGGTGGAAGTTGGCAGTGATTTGGTATTTTAAGAAGAAACTGTCCATCTGAGTTGAGGTAGCATTGGCAACAAACAGAAATAGAGTCATTGAGGCACATGTTGGCTGGGTCTATGCAATCACCACTCAGGAAAAGGGAGCCTTAGTCATTCTTTAGGTTGGTCTAGTCCTATTTATTCATGGATCCATTGAACTTTATTGTGAGCCTACTAGGCCAGGCACTATGCTACATGCTGGAAAATGGAAATGAATAAATCAAGTCCTCATGAAGTTTGCATTCAGTGGGGAAGTCAGCCAATAAACACACACACACACACACACACAGTCTAATAACATGAGGTCAGTGCTCAAAAAAGCTTAACAGGGTAGAGGAGATAGAATGAATGAGGGAACTCATTGGTAGTAAACATTGCATTATTTCAAATTGAAAGGTCAAGAAGGGTATTTCTGAGGGGGTGATATTAAAACAGAGATACATGAATGAAGTGAGGAGTGAGCTACCTACAGATCAGAGGGGAAGAGAATTCTGAGCAGCCAGAACAGCAAGTGGAAAGCTCAGAGGCTGGAATGAACTTGTATGTGCTCGAGGAACAGAAAGGCTGCTAGGTCTGTGCTCATTAGTTAGTGCTGTTTGTCAAATGTTCTGGTTGTTTCTCCTTCCAAACACAAGGTAGGACCACACTACCTGGTTCCTCTGTTGATGGGTAGGCCATGTGATTAGCTGTGGATGGTGAGTCATGAGCAGAAATGATGTGCACCATTAATGGAGACCCCCAATGAAGGACCCTCTAGAGCACTTTCCTTTTCTGTTTCTGGCACGGTGATTGAAATGCTCTGGGCAGTGGCTGCTCCGTCAGCCTCACTCCGAGAGTGAGAAAGAAAGCCGTGTGGGAACAGCATCCTCAGCTGATCCCTAACAGACATGAATGTGAGCAAGAAATAAATTCGAGTGCCAAGCCTCTGAGACTTGGAGTTGTTACCGCACTGTGGCATAGCCTGTCCTGACTGATAGTGTAACCGGTGGGGAGAAAGCTGGAGGCACAGTGGGAGGAGATGGCATCTAAGGGACAGGCAGAGAACAGACTGTGCAGAGCCTTGTAGGCAACAATGAATGTGGATTTCATTTTCTGCGAATGAAAAACCTCTGGAGGACTTTGAGCAGGAACGTGACATGATTTGCATATGAAAAAAATCAGTCAGTCATGTACAGGCAAGTCCTTTTTATGGGAAACATATACTGAGGTATTTAGGGATAAAGTGTAAGGTCTACAAGTTACTTTCATATAGTTCCATAAAATGTGTGCTCCGTGTGTGTGCGTGCACATGCACGACGGGGGTAAAATGGTAATTGGCGTACCTAGATGAGGGGAATGTAGGTGTACATTGCACTCTTTTTCAAATTTTCAGAGAGTTCAAATTTTTTAAAAATACACAGTTGGGAGAAAATCACTTTAGAGAACTACAGAGGAAGGGAAGCAAACAGGGCCATTAGGAGGCTGCTGTGAGAAGGGAAGTGGTTTGGGCTGGAGAGGCCATGTGAGAACCGGGTGCATTTGAAATCTGTGTTGTGTGTGGAGCTGGCAGGCTTTGCTGCTAGACTGGCTATGCGATGTGAAGGGAAGAGAGGAGTCAAGGTGTCTCCTAGGTTTTTGTCCTGAGCAAGCGTGAGGTTGTTGATACCATTAACTGAGATGGAATCGCAGGGGAAGGCCTCGGTTTAGGGGATGGGAAATAGCAATTTTGTTTTGGAAACATCGATGGTGAACATCCCAGTGGAGACTGGGTTGGCAGTTGGACAAATGAGTTAGGAGTTCAAAGAGGTTGGCTGGAAGTGCACAACTTGGAATTATCAGCATGTGGTGGCACCCAAGTCATGGAGCGGCACAGAATCCCTTGTGAAGCAAGTGTTGGTGGGGAAGCGGATCAGGACTGAGCACCTGGCAGATGAGAAGGGCAGGACCACAAAGTTATTTTTCTCTTCAGATTGCATGCTTGCTGAGCAACCACTTGGTTATTACTTGACTTCACATATAAGTCACCCATAAAGGAAAGCTTGCTCAGATGAAGCTGGGATATTCTAGTTCCCAGGACAGTTCTCATAGTAAATAATTAAACTGATCACACAAGTTCGGCTGGAGTCAGTCCGAGACAGATCTGTCTCCAATGTGCTGACAAAATCTGATCTGGCACTCTTCATTAGCTCCCAGTAGCCTGCTAAGGAAGAATGTTTCCAGAGCTGATGAGAAAACCAAAAGCCAGGTGTAGCTAATAGAATATTCTGTTTTGGTTATAAACCTTTTCTTTTGTTAAAGTTCTATTATTGGTTTGTTGCTGTGTCTCTCATGCAGTTTTTCTTCTGTGCTTTTTCATTGTGGACACTAGCACAGATGGCCCCCTTTCCTCCTCTTTGCCTGCCTCCACCCTCCTCCCCACCCTTCCCTCCAGCCATCCTCCCCACCTCACTGTTGTTTGTGCATTTCCTTATATCAGAATCCCTATTACTTTATCACTACTTGGGGAGTATTCTAGATGTTTGCTCTAATATCTAAAAAATTTCATTTCAGTGTGGATAGTATTCAAAGGGTTTAAAAATCAAAATGACAAAGTATACATTGATAATTGACCTTCCCATGTGTTTCCCCCCATTGTCCCTGTCCACTTTGTGTATCCATCTAAAGTTTGGGTTGTTACCAATCTCTTGCTGTCACAAAGATGCAATGAATATAGGGTTGGGCAAAAGTAGGTTTATAGTTGTTCATATGGAAAATAATACAAAAATGAATAAATAGTAATATAAGAATAAATGGTTTCACAAACTCTCAACTATAAACCTGCTTTTGCCATACCCTGTTTACTTGGTTTCTGAGCTGTAGTTTTTGTGTCTGCTGTGCTGTGACGATGGGAAACACATACTATATTCCTTTTGGGAGGGTTGAGTAGTTTCTGATAAAAGTTCAGGCTCAAACTAACTGCATTCCTCTCCCCTTTCCTTTTAGTCTGAAACATGGACACCATGACAATTCCAGTAAAACGTGATTATGAATACACAGCTGCTCTAGCTAAAGCTAAATTTAGGGATGTTGAGGTTCAAGTATTTAATGTCTACTGTTTTGGGGATAAAAAGGGCTTGTGCTGACCCAATAGGGGAAAAAGGAGGTTCATAAAAGTTATTGGAAAATATGTGTTTATGAGAGGTGGCTTGGGATGTAACTTAAAAACTCGGCTAAGTAGTTAATGCATACAGTTGTCCTTGTTCCCCTCTCGTGGTCTAGCAGGTTGTATTTTCCAGAGACAGATACCCAGGAGAACAGATTAAAGATAACAGTTTTACTCTGCAAGCACTTCTAAATACTTGGAATAAACACAGCACTGTCTTAGGTGTTACAGAAAATTGCTAAAAGTAGAAGACACTGCCTTATCCACGGGTATTGCTTGCATTTATAAACCTTTAAAATAAAATAAAAACATTTAAACTTCCCATTAGAAATAATTCTTAAATTATTGTTACTATTGAATTCTGGCTATGCACCAAATACAAGAAAAAAAAAACACCAAACCAGTAAATATATTAGTTTTACAAGTTCTTAGGGACCAGGAGAAAATTAAAGTTTGAATTCATATCCTTTCTGGATTTAACTTTTAACTACAGAAATGAAAATATGTTCACAATGCACAAAGTCGTATTTTTGGTAGCATATATTTAATGGCATATGGATGGTGAGAATCCAGGGTTTCCACGTGAAATGGAAATAAACAAGGACCATATAAAACTAACAACCAATTTATGTTTTTTGAGAAAGGAAATAGAGATTTTGTACTCATTGCTTTAGAAATTATGAGTAGGAAAACTAAATTATTTTAAATGAAGCAAATATTTCATATTATAAACAATTAAAATAGGATGGCATTTGAAGACCGCATCCAAATCTGAGATTAAATGATTCTATGAACTAAATACAGAAAGGAGAGGCAGTAGGTGTACTTCTAAAGACTTTCTAAACTGTGCTTTTTCCTACCTTGACTGGACTGACTTGAGAATCAGTGGTAATACACCTGCTTTACTTTATGGCTTGAGCTGGATTATCTGTTTTATAAAGAAATCCCATCTCATAGCTCCTCTTCTGAATCTTGATCATGAATTTTCTGAGGCTGTCTCTTAATACTAATTACCAAATCAATGGTTAAAATTTTTGTCAAACACTGAAGAACTGAAGTTAGTACCTGGTATTTACCAGATACTGATTCCAAACCTGTCTGACTGCTCACCAGGGGCTGATTGGCTTGCAGTGCACGGAGAGTTCTAATATATATTTGTGGAAAGCTGTGATTTCCTTTCTTAGACTTATACAGGATTTGGGGAATGCTTAAAAGTGCATTAGCTATTATCACACTAACTAGGGTTGCTTCTGAGCGCTGGCTTTTTTTGGCATAGTTGAGGAGATAGTAATGTAACAAGATCTCAAAATTACCACCAACTGGTAAAACACAACCTGCTGGTATAGATGAGAAGCAGTAACTCTGGGAAGAGCTCACCTCCAGTGACTTACATCTCTCTGGTAACATATTCCCTATTCCAGAAATTTTTGTGATCGATACATTTTCATAAGAAATTTCTATTCTAGTATTTTCTGTTGTTGAATCAGTAGTAGGATCACTCCCAATAAATGGATCATGGTCATCAATCATCCTGGGTTTGTTTGCAGATAAACATCTCAGTGTTTCGTCTGCCTGGTATGTATCTGTTGGTGTCACTTTTGGTGTTGAACATGAAATACATGTTTCTAATTCTACACTTGGAACGACCACATTTGAATATACTTTTAAATATGTTTGAATTTTTGCCAGTTCATCTTTGTTCTTTACATCTATGCCTTGATATGGCCTTTGTATCGAGTCATTAACAAGTTCTGATGACTGATTACTTTCTCTGTTTTTATAAATAAGAGGATTTGATGTATAGTTTTGGTCACTGATCTGTGTCATGTAATTTAGATCAAGGTCTTTAAATAACTGCCGAAGCATTTTAAATGCTCCATGTAAAGCATCTTCATGTTGTTGAACAAGACCCTGCACTGGTCCACAAAGAACTATACAGTGTGGTATAAATGAACATGTGCTAATCAAGCCAAAATGAGCATACCGTTTGGATCTAAGTACAAGGGGCTTACAAAATTTTACCACAGCAGTATTCAAGACTTCATGACGTGAAGAGGCTTGTGGCAGTACAAAGGGAGAAAGACCGGTGATCCTCTGAATAAGAGAAATTTCTTCAGATGATAAACATTCCACCACTGATATGCCATTCAATTCTGCATAATAAATAACCAAGTCTGGTTGTTTCACACTAGATAGGAGGAGTTTTACATTCTGAGTCTGTAAATATTTCATTATTGCTTTTGTTCTTTCTACAATCCAAAACTGAGATGTCTGAAACTGTGCCTCTGAATTTAGAATAAACTCTGATCCTGAAGTTGAAAAGACGGGCTGAATGGTTTCTGTTGCTAGCACTATTCTTATGTCCCCACCTGCTGGACAGTACACAGAAAAGTCTCTGTGAAGCACAAGCCCAGCTACGATCCTGGAATCTGCAACTGGAAGGCCAGTGACACCAATGTTCAACTCTACGAAATAGTCATCCACTAACTCAAATACTTCTTCAAACCCACTTCCACAAGCCATACACTTGAAAAAGTAGTCACACATCAATTCTGAAATAAAGCTGTGGTTATTTCTTCCCACTTTTCCACAAAAGTATGCTTCTAAGAGCAACTGGAAAGAGCTCCTACACAACATTCTCTCTTCAGTGGATGAAGAAAAGATGGACAAAAAGTGTCTACTTAAGTAGTGGTCTATAACATAGTCTAATACTTGTGTTTGAAACGTTAGAAGAGCTTGGGAAATATATTTCCACTGACAACAATTTTTCCAATGCCTTTCATGGGTTTGAATATTTTTGGAAATGAAAGAGTCTTTTCCTTTGTCTGTGACTGCATGAAGTTCTCTGAGCAAATGGCAAAGAAAGATAATAAATGTCTTAGCACCATCTCCTGTTTTTCTTAGATGACTGGAAACACATGCCACCATCACCCTGTACAAAATAGAAATAAAACAACTCAGATTTTCAGTGGGCTGCCTTCCTACATCTAGATCAAGTTGAAACCACGTTTTTACAAGTATGAGCATAAAATGAGAATACGGCCCCTTTGCTATGTCCTTAGTTTTCTCTTTTCCAAGTTAGTATTTTGTTCTATTTCAAGATTCTAGGTGCAGGGGGAGGAGTAAGAAATATTCTTAAAAGTTGATACAATTTGATGATACAGTGTTCCCTAGGGCTGCGCTCTAACCCTGCACATACACTGGTCTCATCCAAAGTCAGTGTTTTCCACGAACACCGCCTCACGGGCACTAAGTTCGGGGAGATAGCCTGGGGTGACCGTCTATAGTACGCCCAAAAGGGCTGGAGTGTGGAACGCGGGTACCTGGCCATGGGATGGTCTAAGTGCAGCACCTCCAGAAGGCGACTTCCATCCCTGCTGAGCAGCACCTCGCCGGTGGGCTTCGTACACAGAATTTGCCGACCCTCAGGCCCCAAGCAGCTGCTCATGATAGTTTCCAACACCTCCGCGACCTGCAACGCCGCCTTCACAGACCCTGCAGCCGCCATAGCCCACCGGTTTCGAGCCCGAGCAGGTCGCTCCCAGCAGCAGACGACGACTTGCCAGGGGCGGAGCACTGTGCAACCGGAAGTGGAAAAGGCTGGGACGAGCCGGAAGTCGGGGCAGCTCGGCTTCCCGGTTGGACGAGGCTGCCGCCCATCCACTCACTCGTCAGAAAAGCGCAGCTGTGCTGCCAGTCGCGGGTAGCGGCCCTATAGTTTACGAAGATAGAATAGGGTCAGAGGGTTCCCGGGGAATTGCCCCTGGAGCGGAAACTGCAGTCCCTTCCCAGATCCCTATTTCCCCAAGTGGCTTGGCTTCAGCTGCCACCAAATCCCTCCGTGTCCCCAGGCTTGCTTCCAAAGTCTGCACGATAGTGGAGCCTGTATAAAAAAGAGGGAATGGGTACCGCGGGGAGAACTCGGCTGGTACCTACCCTCGACCAAAGCTTCTTGTCGTTTAGCAGCAAAACCTCTGCGTTGGACTCAACACATATTCTGTCCACTCTCCGTCAGTTGTCCTTCCACTCACGATAGCAGTTTGGGGATGTGAGACAGATAGCGAGAGCTGTAGGCTTTGTGCTCTTCGTAGTGGTCTTTGCCACATTTCCTGAGCTCAGATATCAATGAAATAGCGGCCACAAGAGTTTACTTGAACTTCAGCAGAGGTGACGTGTGAAGATGTGGCAACACTGATGGTCAACAGCACGTTTTAAAAATAGGCCATTATTGGAGAGGGAATTTCAGGGGAAAAGGGGAAGGGTTTACAGGAACGAGTATAAAGGACACATGGATAAAAACTAGGGGCGGGTGGAAACGGGAGGGAGGAGGGGAGGGCTGGGTGGGTGGGTTGGGATGGGAGTAAAAGATAGAAAATTGTACTGCAACAACAATTTAAATAAAATAAAAAAAATAAAAAAAGACCATTATTGGATACAATCTAACAGCAGGAAAAAAAAAAACCCTACCCTGTTAGGCAGAAAAAACATACTGTTTCATGTATTAAAAAAAAACACTCTCAAAAGATGCAATAGTCAGGAACATGGGCTTAAGATTTGGATATAGATTTGCTCTGCCATTTATCTGTGACACTCTGCAAGTAACCATTTTTGTCTCCAGTTCTCTCACCTTAAAAAATAGGAAATAATAGCTATGTAAATGAAAATTCTCAAGGTTTGAGGAGGGTGACATGGTTTACAAAGTTTTTTTGTTGTTGTTTGCATGGTGCCCCACATATATTAAGCACTGAACAGTCTAATTTTCAGGTCATCCACATGTCACTAATGTATGGGCCCCAAATCTGTGGGATATTCTGCAAGGGGCAGGGGTTGATTAGCATAATAGCACAACACAGGACACCTATGAAGAATGTGGTTAATATTAGGAAATTACCATGTAGATGTTAATCATTGACTTTGAACAGTGAAGGGCAATTTTCCTTATCCCTTATTCCTATGCTATAATCTGTAAACTCTTCCCTCCCTTTCCCCAATTGAAGAAGCAACTGAGTATTAGCCAGAAGCAACTGGACCTTGAGGAGAGAGCAAGAAAGGGAGAGGAGGAGGATGAAGAAAGCTGGAGAGGAATAATTTCTTGGAACTCACCTGATGTTGACTCAGTATAAACATATAGGTGTTCTGAAGGGGAAAAAACTTTTTCAAATGGGCCTTGTACATGTGTTTGTTTAACAGAAATGATTCCCACCCCCACCCCCCAGGGTTCTTCCCATCACAAAGGGGCTACATACTCAATATAGATTAGAGCAGAAGGTTATTCCAAACATTTAAAAGTGGTACGATCAGAGTTTCATTTAAGGGTACAGTGGAAAGAGAATGGACATTGCAATCCGAGTTGGACTCAAACTTGTGCTCACTATCAATCTTACTCAATGATGCTTTTGGAATCATTTAACTTCTCTGAGCCTCATATTCATCATCTATACATTTGGGCTAACTTCCACCTATCTTATTATTAGTACTCAAGAAGAATTAATATAAAGTACCAAGTACATTAGGGATTCTAACTGTTAAACTCCTTCCAAGCCCCAGTCCTTCAGAACAACGTTCACCAAAAATTTTAATTTAAAAATTAGTACTAAGTACTTTGGTCACTATATGTTATATTCAAAGTCATTTGATCACAATTTTCTTTTTAAAAATTTTATTTAGAATGCCTACTTGTAGAAGTTAGCATAATTTTACAGATCATTAGAAAAATTCAATTTTTCATCTCTGCAAACATAATAGGTTAGGAATAATAGATTAGAAAGGTAATACATTACAAAACAGTAGTCTATGACTATCTGTACATTTACGATGCACCTTAAGGAAAAGAAATTGACAGTGTGCTGTACTTACACTGTACATGTAACATACTTTTATTCTATTGTACAAAACTGACCAGTGGTAGTGTTTGACTTTATAAATGGCCATCAATCAGAATATTTCACTTTAGCATGCTAAAAAGTGAAAAAAATTTCAACTGACATTCTGTGGCTCATCAGTTCAAATGTTTTGTGGCATTTTTCTTTAAATTTCAATATTGTATATTGTAATACTAAAATAACTTTACATGATAAATGCAGAAATATAATATTCTGATATTTTAGAAAGTAATTCACATTCATTTTGTCATGGGTTTCTTGCAGATCTTCTAACTACATTAATCATATTGGGAAGACACTGGTCCTATGAAATTTTAACAGTCCATCTTCAATTAAATACTGTAACAAAACAAACAGTATGTTAAGAGTAACAAAAAGTAAATCAAATATACTAAATTCACACTATAGGTAAACAAAATGCAGCCAAATTATATAATAGTGGCAGACCACACATTTTTAAAGAATCTCTTTTTCCATGTAGTCAAAATAAGACAGAAGCTGAAATGTAAACTTAGTGATTTGTGTACACCTTCCCCCATCAGCTCAAATTGGAAAATTTGGTACAAATGTTAATTTTAATATTTTAGTTCTGACATTTAACATAATTCAAAATAATCTGCAGAGTCATGTATGGCTCATCAATAATGCCATTATTACCTATCAAACAAAATAAACCCCAAAATATTCATTGCTCACTAGAAATGCTAAACACTGGAAAAAATGGAATTTTATACATTTGTTTTCTTAAATATTTGACTAAGATATTCTTCAAAAAGTTAAAACTGCCTTTCAAAGAATTTTGTGTGTTTATGGCACAAGTTGACACCCAAAACAGTGTGAATTCCATCAAAAAGGCACTGTTTACAATACTCAGAATAATCTGACAAAGGGCTACTTTAATGATGTTTGAGGATGAAGAATATATTTGAAATAGGTAAACAGACAACCCTTATAAAAGTACAGCATTACCATCGAAATATATTTAGCTATATAAAAGGAAATAAGATGACAAAGAGAAATGACCCTTTATGACGTTTAAGTCTATAAACACTTTGAATCATATTGTACAGTTCTGTAACACAAAATGAGTAAAAGTATTTCTTAAAGGCACAAAAGCGTGAATACTACTAAATGAGGGTTATATTTTACAAGGCCAACTTTTTCAGTGGAATGGTGACAAAGATTACACTATATCTTCATAAGTGATACAAAAAACCGCTGATGTGAAATACAAGTAAAATATCTATTGCTGAAACTTATTTCACATGCCCTATTTATTGTCTTTTCCTGGCCAGCTACATCTCACTAAATAGTGAATGACTGAAGGCATAGTACATTCAACAACCAAAATAGAAAAGCACATGCCAATAATTCTTACTTAAATTTTCATGTGAAAAAAATAAAATTTTTGATTAAATGAAAAATAAAAGAAATAGGGTTTTAAGTCATACAGTTCTCAGACAACTGAGAACTATATATCACATTTATTATGAATCCATTTGTGAAGGAAGATTAATTTCAGAGAACATTCAAAGTCAATTACATATATGGCTAACTACAAAGTTAATTATGTGTTTTAAAGGATTCACATACTAAGCCTGGTATAAGCACTGATCTAAAACTAAGCCACCAATTCCTGAGTTTTGTGTTCAGTTTGCAGAAAGCAACTCATACAAATAAAAGCATAAGAAGACAACTAGATTAGATACATGCTTTTAGTGTAACAGTCGTTAAGTAACCCTGCTCTTTCTTATGAATTAGTTTTTGACTCTTTGGGTAATAAGAACCCATAACATCTGCCCTAAAAGGAAAATTAAAAAAAAACAAATTAAAGAAAACAACTACCTTCCCAGTCTTAGAAGATACCTATTCAAATAAACACTATTTAGACCAAATGTAAATAACCCACAAGTGGGTAAGGCTAAAACCTCAAAAAGGGGTTACCAACAAAATTTTCAGGGTTTAATGATGAAATGATTTTGTGATCGGCCAATCAAATTATATATAATATAAATTAATACTAATTAAAACATAAAAAAGATCAAATTGTACAATATTTACAAAATGTATATCAGTGAATAGGCAGTTGAGCATAACATTGGTAGCAGAATGTGAGTACAAAAATCATATCAACAAGTATGAAACACAAACAGAAATCTCCACTTGTTCTAGTGTAGCCATGTTATATCTATACTTATACTGGACATAGATACATCTTATTTATGTTTTAATCAATTTAAAAAATGTTTCATATGTACATATGGAATACAGCATTGTTTTGCCAAAAATACATGGGAAGTGGCTCTTCATAAAACCTAAGAATAATTAAGATAGCTATATTGGTTAGGGAGAAAAAGCAGGCTTTTTATCATTTTCAATTTTCATAATTTAGCAACCATCCTTTTACCTTTATATTTACCATGACATTAAACAGCTGATTGTAATTTTACTAGTGTCTGACAGTCTCTTCTTAGTCAAAGGCAAATGTAGACAGAGCAATTATTCTGACCTAATTTTCATTAATAACCATTTCAAAATCTATCCTTTTGGGATTCTAAGATATATATCTTAGAACAACAT